CTGAGGCAGGAGGATCCCAAATCAGAGCCCAGCCCAGAGAGCTTAGTGAGACTCTGGCTCAAAATAAAAAATGTTAGAAATCCGGCTCAGTGTGAAGATCCTCAGTTTGACTCCCAGTGCCACCCAGTAAGTAAATAAATGTTAAGAAGGAAGGAGTGTTGGAAAGAAAAAGACAAGCATTCCTTTAGAAAAATGAAAAAAATATTTACAAGCAGGCAAGTTAATATTTACAAGCAGGAAGAATAAATGCAAACATCAAGCACAATTTTTGGAACTTGCTAGTAAATAGCAGCGTCAGTGTCAGTTAAACGACAGTGAAATAATCATGCTAATTCTGCTAGGCCAGCAGAGATTAGAAACCTGGACGACACTGAGCTACGCCCGGGCAAAAGTCCCCAGGTGCCCTGTGCTTTGTGGCAGGTCCTGCTGCACCTGAAAGAGTCCAACCACTGCCCCCACACCAGGCTTGCGGAGACCGAGTTAGGCCTCATCTCCTGTTACGCTTTTATACCCGTGAGATGTGCAAACTTGGGTTAACAAGCCCCGGTGACCACAGCCACTGTGCATCGCTCCCAGCCGGAGCCCCTGCGCGTTCTCTAGCCCTGTCCCTGGCACGGGACTTTCCCCTTCCAAAGTCCCATTTTGTCCTTCTCCTTTCCTGGCACCCTTTCCTGCTCAGGACCAGTCAAAGACCTCATAACCTAGATGGGAGTCGTCACCAGTCTGCTTAGGTGCCTGTGTCATCCTGCTCAGAGCTGTGCTGGAATCAGCCTGTCCTCTGAGCTCGTACCTTTGTTCTTCTCCTCCTTTTCCCTAATAGCACCTATTCCTGTGGTACCTGTTTATAGAGCTGGAGTTCACCGGGTTCTTGTGTTTATTATATTTGAGTACCTTTATCTTAAGGAGAATAAAATAATCATTTTTTTATGTTTTTGACACCGGTTGACTAACAAGCCTGAATTTTATTTAGAGACCCACCTCTTGGCTTCCATCAGCCCACCTGCACCTTTGCCTCTGGCCTGGGAGGCTCACAAAGCCAGTCCATGACCTGCGGCCTCTGCACCGTTAAGTAGAGCTCACTTCCACTGTCACTGAGCATCCTGATTTCGTCTCCTAGGACTGACGCAGCAAAGACACTCACTGTGTTCCTGCTGGATTGGAAATGAAAGGATAGGGCTGGAGGTTTAACTCAGTGACACAAGTACCTGCTTGACAAGTGTAAGGTTGTGAGTTCGATCCCCAGTACCAAAAGAAAAAACAAAACCAAAACAGAAACAATACAGTTCCAGCAGCTATTTCCTCCACAAGGAGGAAAGCATGTCAGAGAACAGGATAGACACACAGATGGAGAACGGAAGCAGTATCACTTTTGAGCCACAGAATCCAGCTGTTTCTCCAAGCCAGGTCTACTGCTGAGTTGACTCTACTTCTGCTCCTGGCTCTGCCAGGACACAAAGCAACCTTAGGCTAATACCGCCTCTTGCCAGCTGCCACAGAACCGAATCTAACCCCCGTGCACATGGAGGGTACGGGCCACCGTCCAGCACCAGCATCCATGGGAACCTGTCTTATGCAGTGCTTGGTCTAGCGGCACCACCGATGTTCAGAGAAAGAGAACCCAGCGGCAAAACTAGGTCCCCGAGCCGAGGAAGGCCACAGGGCAGGGCCTGCATCCCACAGGGCTCATCATGAAATTGGCAAGAAGGCACGCACATAAAGATAAGCGGTCAGGGGCTGGGGATTTAGCTCAGCGGCATAAGCGCCTGCCTTGCAAGCAGGCAGTCGTGAGTTCGATCCCTGGTACCGATAAAAATGAAAAAGACAAAAAAAAAAAAAAAAGCAGTCAGGTTTGGGGTGTCAGACACATGGATTCCTGAGGGAGCAGTAATGTCTTCCCAAAGCAAGAAGCCAAAGCGCAAACTCTTTACTTCCTCTTTTCTGGGGATTGAATCCAGGGCTCTGTTTGTTTGTTGTTTGTTTTGTTTTTAGTACCAAGAAGTGAACTCAGGGCCTCTTGAGTCCAGGGTTTTGTACATGCTAAAAAAGAGCTCCATCACTGAGCTTCACCCCTGCACCCTAAAACCAATCTTAAGGAAGCACAGGCACCATAAGACTTCTGTTTCCCTTTGAATCAAAATGAGCTATGAAAAGGGAGGAACATCACACACAAAAAAATTAGGAAAAAGCATGTTTAAGCCAGGTCCTCACTCAGGTTAGACAAGGGCTCTTCCACTGACCTGTATCCCCAATTCTTTGTTCTTTCTTTTATCTTGAGACAGAGTCTACCTAATTCTCCACGCTTGCCTAGAACTTGCAATTCTGCTGTCTCAGCCTCCCAAGTAGCTGGGATTACAGGCACCATGTCCGCCACTGTCATTCTTAAAATTTAATTTCATTTAACTTTGTGGATTTCATCTGCTTTCAAGCTAACTATACTCGTTTTAAAATTTAAATACAGCCAGGCATGGTGGAGCACCCCTATAATCCCAGCACTAAGGAAGCCGACTCTGGAGGATCACTGTGAATTCGAGGCTAGCCTGGACTACAAAATGACTTCAAGCCAGCCTGAACTATTAGTGAGATCTTGTCTCAAAAAGACACAAGGAGCAGCTATGGCTCCGGGCGGTAAGATCAACTGGCCCCAAAGAGTTGAAGAGGAAGCTGTTCAAGCACCGGCCGGGATGGTCTGGGCCGTGGTAGATGCGGCACCATCTGTGGAAGCACACGTCCAGTGCCTGGGCCAACCTCACCCTATGGGGAAGAAGCACAGGAAGCTCCTGCAGCAGATCCGGCTAGCCCAAAAAGAGAAGGCAGCCATGGAAGTGGAAGCCCCCACACAAAGCCAGCCAGGACCAGAGAGCCACAGCCCAAGATAAGGACAGCTCCCCAGGCTATCGACATTATGGACCGGGAGGATGGGAGCTGGAGTTTTCACCTCTTCCCACAGAACATTTTCACCTGCAAGTGGAAGGTTGGATGAGTGTTTCAGAGGACTTTGGAGACAGCATCCCCTCTTTCACTCTCCCATATTCTCCCTCCATAACGCCTGGTGGACCCTGCTGCTGGCATAGGTGTGTTGGAAGAGGGCACAGAAGCAAGAGTGCAGAGGGACCTGTGGAGCAGTTGAATCCATCTGTAATGAAGCCTAAGAGCTAGATATGGTTGGCACATCCATCATCCCCGCACTTGGGAGGCTGACGCAGGGGGATTGTGTCGAATTCAAGGCCACCCTGAACTACATATGGAGGTCCTGTTTCAAAAATAAATAAATGAAATAAAAAAGATACAAAAATTAATTAATTAATTTTAAACACAGCATTACTAAACAAATATATTCATTCATTTAACATTATTATGTGCCAGGCACCATTATATACACTGTTTCAGTAGTTAATAAAACCAGTTACATGTAACTGGTAGGAACACTAGACTAGAGTCTAGGGTAGAAAGTAAATTTTCTTATCCAACCTGTAAAATGATCCTTTAAAAATGTTTACTGGGGGCTGGGGATTTAGCTCAGCTGCATAAGCACCTGCCTTGGAAGCAGGCGGTTGTCAGTTCGATCCCCGGTACCGATAAAAAGGAAAAAGACAAAAAAAAAAAAAATGTTTACCAACTATTTATCATGCACTACAATTTTTATAAAAATGGGAACATGTTATATTTACTCTTTTTTGAATCTTGCTTTATTTTTTCTCAGTTAATTTGGACTGGTTTCGTGTCAATACATATCAATTCACTTCTTTCTTTTTTATGTGTCATATGCCTTTGTTGTTATTGTTGTTGGATTTCTGCAGGACTGGGGATTGAACCCAGGGCCTTTGTATTGAATTACACCTACAGCCCTATTTTTTTTTTTAAAAATTTTTTGAGACAAGTAGTTTTCAAGAAACATGATAAAAAATCATCTTGCTAAACAGAAGCACTTCGAATTATCTGACATCCGAAATCTGTTTCCAGATGTTTCAGTTTCCAGGTCAACTGTTTCCAGTTTTGACTGTTTTTATTCTCATGCATCATCTCCAGTTCAATCATCCCCAACTGTGTGGCATCAGCAAAGCACGTTTCAGTAGTAGCTCAATTAAACAAGCTGCTTCATTAATAAGCACAGTATTTCCAGGGAAAATGGAAGCAACTTTGTTTCTCATGCAGGTGTCACGGTATACTTTGATTTCTTGGTTGTGACCTATGATTCTTTAAACACAATCAGCCATCTAGGTGGACTCAGATTTCTAACTATAATATTACCCCTTGTGCATTTTGTAGTATTTATGCAAAATCTTGCAGAAGAGAAATAAACATCAGTAAGAGCAACAACAACAACAAAAAAAATGTTCACTCACTTACCATCTTCACAATCCCAGCCAGTGTAAAGTTCACTCAGCCTTGGGATATTCCACCTGGGCCTGAAGTTCCCTGAACTACCACACAATCAGATAAACTCTGACTGAGGGGAGTGACCAGTGGGAATACAGTGCTCTGAACACAGCTGCTCAGCGTGCAGGAGGCCATTGTGATGTCCAGGGAGCACGGGCTGTGTTTTAAACTTCAATTTCACTTCAGCCGGGCGTGGTGACTCACGCCTGTAATCCCAGCACTCCGGAGGCTGAGGCAGGAGGATCTTTGCGAGTTCGAGACCAGCCTAGGCTACAAAGTGAGCTCAGGGCCAGCCTGAACTGCACAGCAAGGCTCTGTCTCAAAAAGACCAAAAAAAAAAAAAAAAAACCAAAAAACAAAACTGCGATTTCACTTTCAGCAGGATTTATGACTAGGATAAAGAAATGATTAGCACTCCTGGGGTCTCTTCAAGAAGAAACCTCATCATTTCTGAAAATGTGTTATAAATTCCGTTCCACTGAGCTTATTTAGAGCACTGCACAAGACTTCAGTGTCAGGTTATTCTAAGTAATCTGAGGAGCCCTGTAAGATCTCTAGAGGTTTATTTCATTTCTGAAAAGTAAAACATAAAACATCAAAACACAGATGATCGCTTTTGACCCTTCTTCTTAAAATTTCACAGATTTATTGAGAGCATTAGCAAAACTTCTGAATTCCTGCTGCCTGCTTTTCTTCCTAACTGTACTCATTTCTAGAACTTTTTGAATGGTCAGGGATTCTTCTGGAGGCAGGACAAACAGCAGCGAAGCTAGAAAATTAAAAGGTACTCATAACTCAGAAGCACTAGAAAGTCATCCAAGAGCTGGGCCTGGTGGTACAGGTCTGTAATCCCAGCACCCAGGAAGTTGAGGCAGAAGGATTACCATGAGTTTGAGGCCAGCCTAGGCTACATACAGTTCAAAGCCAGCCTGCATTGCATAGTGAGACTGTCTCAAAGTCAATCAATCAATTAATCAATCAAACAAGGATAGGGATGCAGTTCAGTGAAGGCTCTGGGTTTGATCATCAGTTCTGCAAGAGAAAAAAAATTGAGGAAGTCATCAAAGGATTAGTAGGGTTTTGTCTCTTTACATGATTTGCTATGACTAACACCTATTTAAATAACTGATCTTTCAAAACTGCTTCTAGAAGAAGAAAAAACACACATGCTCAGATAAAAGAAATGGCAGGATTATTTGGAGGAGCATTGATGCAATGTCTCATGAATAGCCTGAGAAAACCCTGCAGGCAGGCTGCTTCTCAGGGCCATCCTGCAGGGCTCTCTCTGGCAGGACAGGGCAGACCCTGCGTCCTGCAGGGTGCGACTCAGACCTGGGCCTCACACCCTGCTGTGTGAAGAGTTTAACAGCCAGCCCTGTTTATTATGGTATAAACTTTGCTTCCTTTCCATGCTGGTTTAGGAGTGGGTGGGCTGACACAGTGACTCAGCGCCCTGTTCTTAGCATCCTTCCTGAAGGATGCTCCCTGAGTACCACATTAATGCTAAAATCTACAGGCATCTTCCTCCCCTGCCCACCCACCCATCAAAGCCAGTGTGAACCGTTTCAGTGATGAAAATTTCTGTAAATGAATTAATCTACCCTCTCCTCTTCACCTATAAATTCCTTTTGTCTCTAAAATATAACAAGTGTTCTAAATGAGCTTAAAATATCCTTTGCAGTGCCTAAACTGCCCTTCCTTCTGTTGGGCCATTTACCTAAGAAGTTAGAGATGATGCCACATGCACATGTGCACACACACACACACACACACACACACACACACACGCACACGCTTAAAATCTCCCTGTCACCATAGCGGTGCCCACCACACTGTGAGCACTGAATAACTTTTGTCATTTTTACTCACTTCTCTTAAAAAGCTGTGGCCCATGAGGTTACAAAAGAGCAACAGAGTCATAACTTTTAATCTGCATGTGCTGGGCGAGCCCCCTCCTACTGAACCATATCCCGGCCCCTTTTAAAAACTGCATTCTGACCCATGCTCTCATTGAATTCCCCTAGGCTGAGCGAAAGCTTCCCACCCCCTGCCTCAGCCTCCCAAGTAAGGTGTTAGAGGTGAGCATCCTGCAGCTTCCAGAGAGCAGGGGGTCTCGCTGGCCTGCATGGCCTCAGCGGGTGAGGGTGACTGTTCTTGTGCAGAGCTGAAAAGCAAGTCCCGGGCAGGAGATCGGGGTGCCGATCTGGCCCCGAGCCGTGAGAAGCCACCCACCTGGGGACACCCCTGGGTCACCCAAGGAAGTCAGGCCCTCCTGGCCAGGTGGGAGGCGCCTGCTCCATCTTGTCCCTGCGCTGGCTGTTCAGATGAAGTCATCTTCCTTGGCCCTGGCTAGATGGCCCGGAAGGTTTGCCCACTCCCCGCTCCCGCGTGTTCCCCAAATGCCCCAGGTCTCGGGGTGCAGGGCGCTCGTCCTCACGACTGCACTGCACACTCAAGAGTTAAAGAGGGTGGCGTCGGCTCAGACTGCAGTCTGCAGCCAGCGCACAAGACGCAGACCAGGGGGACTGCAGGGTCCTTGAGGAGCCGGGAGGGGACGCGCACCCCATCCCACCCCGCAAGCCGCCCTCTAGTTCCCTTCCACAGCGCCCACCGAGGAGCCCTCGGGAGACAGCGAGACCGGAACTGTGACACTACTGCTCCCATTCAGCAGACCCCGACTGCCGAGGTGCCCACAAGGGCAGCCAGAAAGGAAACCCGCCAGAACCAGATGTTTTCACAACCGTGCTGCACCCACCTGGTCCTTACCTGTTTGTTTATTTATTTATTTAAGTCTTTTTGACACAGGGTCTCACTATGCAGTTCAGGCTGGCCTTGAGCTCACTTTGTAGCCCAGGCTATTCTCAAACTTGTGATCCTCCTGCCTCAGCCTCCAGAGTGCTGGGTTATGGGCGTGGGCCACCACGCCCGGCTTGTTTGTCTTCTCAATTGCTGCAGCTCTTCGGCACTGAGTTTCTGAACCATTAAACTCTGCCCATCTGCTATCTGTTCTCCAGAGCAAAGGTCCAGTGTGTTCTTCACAGGGCCATTAATGCACACCACACACACACACACCCCAACCTCAAAGCCTCACCATTACTGCAAAGGGTTAGGGTACACAACAGTAGAGGTTGTTTTTTCCTGACTTAATTGGGGAAAAAAGTGGAACTGTAAATTCCCTGATATCCATGCCTCATTCACATTTTCAGTCCTATTTCTAAAAAGACTTTTTTGTTAGTTCCAGGTTCTCTTAAAGGGAAAAAAAGTAAAACAAACTTTCAAAACAAGCTAATAGAAGGGTAACAATGGTTAAGACATTGTATATTCTATCTTTAAATTAGTTATCAAGAGTACAAGGTATAGGTGCTTAATTGTCCTAACAATATTAGCAGAAACGTTTCTTTTCAATGAAATGAGAGAAATTACTAGTATAACTATCTTTAAAAATGTATGTATATATAGTTTTGTTTTGCTTTCTGTTTTTCTTTTCCTTCTGTTCTCCTTTCCCTCACCCCAGTTTCTCTATCCCTTTAAACAGTTTCTTATCATTTTACAATATCTACTGCACATTTTGGTCATTTACTTTCAGCTTCTCACACTAGGGAGACAATACAATATGTACACATGTGTGTCTGATCCATTTCACTTATGAGTATGGTCCTAAGTTGCATCCATTTACCTGTAAAAGTCTCCAGTTTACCTTTTTTATACCTGAGTAGTACTCCACACTATAAAAAGACCACATCTTTTGTATCCATTTCTCAGTTGATGGGCATTTTGGTTGTTTCCAAGATCTAGCTATAATAAATTGTGCTGCTATAAACATGGGTGCACATATATCACTGTGGTATGATGTTTCTAATTATTCTAGGAAGATACCCAGAAGGGGAATAGCTGGGTCAAATGGGACCTCTAATCCTAGTTTTTAAAAAAAATCTCCACACTGATTTCCACAGTAGTTGCACCAGTCTACACTCCCACCAACAGTGTAGACGGGTTCCTTTTCCCCCACATCTCCTCCAGCATTTGGTATTGGCTGATTTCTTGATACTAGCCATTCTTACCAGGATGAGATGCAACCTTAGTGTTGTTTTAATTTGCATCTGTTGACTGATCAGTGATGTTGCACGTCTTTTCATATATTTGATTATTGTTTGTATTTCTTCATCTGAGAATTGTGTTTTCATCTCAGCTGCCCATTTTTGGATTGGGTCTTTAAATTTGGTAGATTTGATTTTTCTGAGTTCTTTATATGTTCTCAAAAGTAGTCCTTTGTCTGAGGGGAAAATGGCAAACTTTTTTTTACCACACTATGGGTTGTCTCTTCACTCTGTTGGTAGTTTCTTTTGCTGTGCAAAAGCTTTTTAATAAGATGAGATCCCAATTGTGGATTCTTTGTGATAGTTCCTATGCAATCAGGGTTTTGTTCACAAAGTCTTTGCCTACAGCAATGTATTCAAGAGTTTTTACCTATTCTATCTTCTAGCAGATTTAATGTTTCTGTTTTACTATTTAGCTTTTGATCCATTTCACCCTTTATTTAGTGCATCATGAAAGATATGGTCCAACTTTACTCTTTGGCATGTGTGAAGCCAGTTTTTCCAGCACCATTTATTAAAGAGGTTGTCTTCCTTCCAGTGAATGCATTTGGCACTTTTGTCAAAAATAAAGTACCCGAGTATACTTGGAATTGTTTCTGCATCTTCTAATCTGTTCCAGTGATCTTTGGGTCTTTTTTTGACAGTACCATGCTGTTTTTATCACAGTAGCTTTGTGATATAATTTCAAGGCAGGGATTGTGATGCCCGCTGCCTTGTCTTTGTTGCCCAGAATTGCCTTTGCTATTCTAGGTCTTTTCTGTTTTCCAGTGTATTTTAGGTTTGTTTTCTTTAGTTCTGTGAGATACGCTGTTGAAATTTTGATCCAAATTACATTAAATCTTTTTTTGATACTGAAATTGAACTCATGACCTCATGCTTCCCAGTCAGACACTGTGCTGCTGAGCTAGATCCCCAACCCAACTGCATTAAATCTATGTAATGATTTCAAAACTTTTTAAAATGAAAGATGTCTTTTGGCATACAGTATTCAATCTTCAGAAGCCATTTGTTAGAATATTATAAAATGTTTATTTAGAGAAAAATGAAACATGATCGAGATAGAATATGACACATGAACATAATTCCCTGCCGCAGGAGATGCTCTTAAAGCATCAGAAACTTTCAGCCAAACCCAGTCACTGTTTGCAATGACAGGGCAAGATTCTCTTGGGGCCCAGTGTTTCTTAGGACCATTAGTGCTAAGAAATTGCTCCACTGCTGCAGATGCACAGTCAGAGAAATATGAGTGATAAGCTTAAAAACAAGTTTCTGACACTTAATGCTAGAATAAAATAAAACAAAGCCCATAGTAAAACTGTGCATGGATGAGAGACAATAGAAAATTTTCAAAAAGTTTGGCAAAAAAGAGATCAAATAGAAACATATCTTTCCTCAAGTTTAACTTTTACCTACAGATTTGTAAATCTTAGAGCCATGAATATATTATATCTATATTGATAGGTTAAAAACAAAAGACTATGGGCCAGGAATTTAGCTCAGTGGCATAAGTACCTGCCTGGCAAGCATGAGGTCATGAGTTCGATGCCTGGGACCAAAAAAAAAAAAAAAAAAAAAAAAGACTAGAAGAACCATGTGCGTATAACTACACAGTTGTCACAGCACATGCTCTCAGATAAAAGCCTAACGGGACAGCTTTGTCTAACTCTGGTGACTGGGGCATTTTGAAGGATAAGGATTCAATTTCCTGACTGCCCACTGTCTCTATAAGCTTCAACTTTCATTCATGAAAAACCATTCTTAACATGTATCAATGGCTCAGTTTGACTTTGGCTAAGTTGCATCTTCTTTGGTTTCTCTTGACCTTTAGGGTGTTGCACCCTTCCACCCTCTGCTTTTAGAGATGCTGAAGTTTCCTTTTCCCTTTCTGGTTGCCTTTTTTTTTTTTTTTTTAATTTCTTTTGTCCTTTACATAGCTTTAAAAGAGTAGAATTCTAGCCCTGTGATCCTAGTTATAGTTTTTTCTCTCCCCCAATGTCTTTTTTTTTTTTTTTTTTTTTTTTGAGATGGGGTCTCGCTATGCAGTTCAGGCTGGCCTTGAGCTCACTTTGTAGCCGAGGCTAGTCTCTAACTCACAAAGATCCTCCCACCTCTGCTTCCTGAGTGCTGGGATTACAGGCATGAGCCACCACGCCCGGCTCCCCCAATGTCTTAATAACTGCCCTCCTTCAGTGGCAGCCTCCAGCCACATGATTTCAAAATTCACTAATTCAGCCCTGAGGCATCTCTAGCCAGAGATTCCTCACCATGTGACTGTTATGAAGGCCCCCAAAGCCTCATGCAGGCATGGGGGCAGGCTACTAGAATTTATGGCTGATTCATGGTCCAATGCTGGAATTATGAGTGTGAGTGCTGCATCCACCCTGGGGTGGGTCCCCTATATACGGTATAAGGGACAGAAAGAGTCTGCTCATGTGCCCCTCCCTTTTTGCTCTTGTAGCTTCTGCTATAGTCCACCACTGTGAACTATTGCCCTCTGCTATGTGCCATCCTCTCTTGGACCCAGCAGATTATGGACCGAAACTTCCACAACTGTGAGCTAAATATACCTTTCCTCCTTTAACTTGTAGGTGTCAGATTCTTTGTCTCAGCAATAAGTATGTAAAATACTGCATCATTACGACCAAATTGCCACCCCATCCTTACTTCCCTATTTCTACAGTGGTCCAATTATTTATATTTTACTCACACTTAATTCAGTTCTCTTTCTGTACTGTGGTCCCTTCTCACTCACTAATATGTTAGCTAATTCTTGCCAAACTTCTGTAAATAGTTTTTTCTTTACTAAATATCCCTTGCCTCCATTCTTTGTTCTTTCCTTTTTGGTTTTCAGAGAATCTCGGTGTGTAATTCAGGCTGGCCTTGAACTCACTATCTGTCCCAGACTATCCTCAAAGTCACAATGATCCTCTTGCCTCGGCCTCCTGAGAACTGGAATTATGGGTGTGCAATGACACACTAGGTTTCTGTTTTCTTTTTTGATTCAGAGTCTTACTACGTAGCCCAGGCTGGCCTCACATACACTGATCCTCCTGCCCCAACCTTCCAAATTCTGGGATTACAGGCATGAGCCACCACTCCTGGCTCAATTTTTTTTTTTTCAAAAGAAGGTTTATTAGTCCTAACTGTCATGAACCTACTTCAGCTGTTCAGCCTCAAAGTTATGGATTATTATCATGTTCTCCTAGTTATTCCCCTTCCCCTCTTTTTGCTACCAAATAAATTTCCTTACAACACTTTTCTAGTATCATTTTCCTGACTAGTATGTGTCAATTACGGTACATCATAGAAGTTTTTTTAGACTTGCTGTTGTCAAATTTTAATGTGCATAGAAAGTCATGGCGGTGCACAACTGTAACTCTAGCACTCTGGGAGGTCGGGGCAAGAGGATTACAAGTTAAAACCCAGCTTGGCCAACTTAGAAGGACCCTGTTTCAAAATAAAAAGGAATAATTTAAAGAAAAATATTGGAGATGCAGCTTAGGATTCAGTGCCCAGTGGACCTCCTCCCAAAATTAATGGGCACCACCCCAACCTTTTCCTGAGACTGAGGGGGTATTCAGCTGCACAGAGTGGGGTTTGCACATTGAGCCTACATTTCCAGCTCCCACTTACGCTGCTGCTGGTCTACAGGCCACGCGTTGCAGGTTTACCACCCCGGCATAACGAAATCTCACTTTCCTCATCCATCAAATGCAGAGAACAACAGAAGATAAAAGTAGCGATAGAGGGCCAGGGAGGTAACTCAGAGGCACAGTGCTTGCCTGGCAAGTGCGCCGTCCTGAGTTTGATTCCTAGTACCAAAAACAAACAAAAAAATAATGATAGTCCAGTTGGTGCTATGGAATCCCCCCCCCCCAACACACACACTCTTTTAAACCTGAACAACTCCCCAGGCCAAGCCCCTTGACCTGTGTCCTGATGCCCACTATCCAGAGACAGATAAAAACAACAAAGATCCTATGGCCAGCCTTAGGAGATTCCAAACTCCCAAACCAAGACATTCAGATGCCAGACCATCCTGCATAACCTGTGCATCCTTTCTTCCCTCAGAGCTCATTAAATGTTTGAGCATTCACACTGCATCTCCTATACCCAGTTCCCTGTAGCAGTGTAAGATGTAGAAAAAGACCTGAGTGATAGACAGAGCTGTGGGACTCAGCACCCCTCAGGTCCTGCTCCTAAAGACCTAACGGAAAGCTCCTGCGACTCAGCCCAACACATTCAGTTCTGAAGCTCAGCACATTCACCCCGATTTCCTGCCCACAGGGGCGCACTCTGAGCACACCACTGCCTAAACTTCATGCCAACTAGGTTGCCTTTCCTCACTCTCAACTGCATTGAATTCTGTGTTCGCTGCTCACAAGATTCAACATCCCGCCAGGACCCATCCCCCAGCTACTGAGACAGGAGAGCCACAGCCTGAGCTGGGGATCCAGCCCCGACTCTCACACCGCAGGGCTGTGTGACTTCTCAGGGCTTCCTCAGATTCTGATGGCATCTAAGGACACAGGGGCCATGAAATTTGCTACCTTAGCTTTCCTCATGACAGGCACCCTATATCCCCCAGGGCGCACTTTTATTTATTTATTTTGTCTTTTGAGACAGTTTTACTATGCAGTTCAGGCTGGCCTCGAACTCACTTGGTAGTCTAGGCTGGCCTGAAACTCACAGAGATCCTCCTGCTTCAGCCTCCCAAGTGCTGGAATTTCAGTTGTGTGCCATTACACTAAGCACTTTTTCCTCTTTCATTCAGCCCAAACTCAACCTGGCAAAGTCAGTTTCTCCCTCATTCTTTATTTTTTCAAGTAAATGTTGCTACTGTTTTTCTCTTATTTTCTCCAATTCTTTGTCCATCATGAGAAGAACCTGGGAACCAACTTCAGCGGGAGACTTGTGCGCTACCTAATGTCTCCTTAGCTGGTTTCTGGAAGGAGTTAACAGGATCAATTCTGCCTATGCTAAAACACCATTTGTGTAGATGGTTGCATGGTTTTCCCCTCACTTCTTTAAACTTCAAGTTGAGGTCATTTTCTTTTTTTTTTTTTTTTTTTTTTTTTTTTTTTGTCTTTTTTGGTTTTTATTGGTACCAGGGATCGAACTCACGACTGCCTGCTTGCAAGGCAGGTGCTTATGCCATTGAGCTAAATCCCCAGCCCCGAAGCCTTTTTCTCAGTGACATCTTCCGGCGGCAGCGTCTAAAACCACAGATGGCCTCCTTCACCCAAGCGTTTCCCAGTAACATTTGCCTTGTAATAAATTACACATTTTATTTATAGGACATAAGTTCCAGGGTGTCATAGATTTTTGTCTGCTTTATGCAACTCTGCATAAACCTGCATTTTCCAATAGTTTTTGTTTGTTTTGAGACAGGCTCTCTCTACCTAGCCCACACTGGCCTTGAGCTCACAGTGATCCTCCTGCTTCAGCCTCCCAAGTGCTGGGATTACCCGTGTGGGCCTCCACGCCCGGCAGAACTCCTCATAGAGTTCTATTCATTTCATTTAGCTGGTTACACCCAATACACAGAAAAATGCCTGCTACATAAGTTCAAAATAAATATTTGTTTATTAAGTGGGGGATTAATACATAATAGCTCCCACTCGGGATTATAAGAATAAATAACACACATAAAGATTTTGACACAGGGCTTGAAATATGGGGGCAAAATTCTTTGATTCTAACTCAACTATCCTTCAATAGCAAGGAGGGTAAGTAGGTTGTGCTGGCACAGAATTCCTGATAAAGCCGTGAAAATAAACCGCTACACAGAGCAATATCAGTAAGTCTCAGTAAACACGCTGAATGGAATAAGCCAACACAAAGTGAAATTATATATTTGTGTATGTGATTAAAACAAATTCATCCATCCTGATGCTATCTAGCCCGTTGCTGGGCAGGGGCGGTAGCGAGGACCGCACCCGGGTGGCCGTGGGCTGGTTGTGTCCTCCGTCTCCGCCTGGCTGAGCGTCCCCGCCACATCCACTGTGCACGTGTCTGTTGAATTATGCACTTGTGATCTCTGCGCTTTTTTGTGTATTTCCATGAAAGCATTTCCTTAAAAATGAGAATAGTCTCTAGGATACATTAAGCACAACGGAAGGCAGAGAAATTCACTGACATTCCTGGAATCACCGCTCCTGCCTTTATTAGACTCCCAGAACACGAGGGCTTTCCCCACTGCTCTGAGCTCCCAACCCAGAGCTACCAAGAGGAGGAGGAGGCAGGCGCGAACTCTCCAGTGAGAACCTGTCACACAGAGCACCATTTAGTGTTTCAGTGTGCAAATCTTAAATATGAGCCAACAGCCAAGGGCAGCCAGGTATTTCAGGAAACATTGTGAAGGATACAGCAGAGCAGGAAGAGAGTTTTCCAGAAAGAAACTCTTGTGGGACGACATCAAGCAAAAAGCTTCATACAAACGGAAAAGCAGCCGATAGATGGAGAGATGTTTGTAAACTGTATGTCTGATAAGGAGTTGATATCGGCAGCTCGCACAGCTTACCTTGGCTCAGGAGTGGAGGGAAATGAGGAAATGGAGGTCACTGTTGGGCTCTGTGCCTAGACCCACAGCCCCCAAATGGGGGCACAGTGAAGGCCCAAAGTAATGAGACACACCGCATGGTCTTCAGGGCTGCAGGAGGAGTGAGATCCTCGGCAGAGCTTGTAACCCTACCAGCCCTGGGCAGCCCGTATTTAATCAGAACAAGCAAGGGGTTGAGTGGACAATGGAGGAAACCTGAGCAAGACCTTGGGAGGGGCTCAAGGACCCCTCAGAGGGACAGATGATGCTAATTAAGGAAAACTATCTAGAAGGTCTCCAGGTGGCCTTAGCTGTGGCCTATCCTGCCCCCTGAGGTGTCTCCAAGCCACACCACAGCCCTGCACATGTATCCAGCTTCAGCGGCTCCAACAGGTCACAGGTTACAAAGCTGCGGTCACTTAGGCTGAATGAATGCGGAGATCTAATAACGGACATGGTAATGACAGCTTTGTTACATACCGGAAGTTCTCTAAGAGACCAAGTTGTAAATGCTCTTTTCCACTATTTAAAATGTAACTATGGCCAGGCATGGTGGCGCAGGCCTATATCCCAGCACTTGGAAGGCTGAGGTAGGAGGATCACTGTGAGTTCGAATGAGGCCAGCCTGGGCTACAAAGTGAGTTCAAGGCTAGCCTGAACTAAATAGTGAGACCCTGTCTCAAAAAGACTAAATACATAAAATAAAAATAAATAAAAACATAACTATGTTAGATGATGGCTACCTTAAATTCTTTGACTATGCTAATCATTCTGCTGTTTATCTATGTCAAAACATCATGTAATACATCTTAAATATACAGAGTTAAAAAATAGAAGTCATTCCTACCCTTACAAAACTAAGAATACATTGCACTAATAGATAGGATTGTCTTTTTAGAAGGGAAATGTTTTAAATTATTTATTGATACATTTTAGGTACACATAATGATCACATTCATTATAGGGAATTTGTACCTACATGACATATATCTTGATTCTTTTCTTTTTCCCCATTCCCCCTCCCTCCCTTCAATCTTTCTTCCCCTTCTTACTTGCAAAAGCTTTGTTTCCATTTTTGGAAAGAAGTATTTTGAGAATAAACAAAAGCTACTAAAAGTAAAAAGTGTGATAGCAGATATTTTTAAAAGTGCAGCAGAATAATTGGAAGACAAAATTGAAAAGTATCTTTTATAAAGTAGGACAAAAAGGCAATGAGATGAAAAATGGGACAGAAACACCAAGAAAAGGAGGCGACCTAGCCAAGAGTTCTCAGATGAAAAGACAGAACGAAGTGTATTATCACAAAACCGATTCACAAAAATTTCCCAGAATACCAGAGCCTAAATTCCCAGGCTGAGATATAGTCAAAGACAAAAAGAGATTCAAGCTTCTGTGGATTTCCAGGACAGTGGCACGGATAAAAAAAAAAAAGTCCCTACACATTTGCAAGATCAAAACACTGCACAAAAACCAAAGAATCAGAAAAGCAGGGACATCTCAGTAGCATTATTGGTAGCTAGAAGCTGAAAGTTGAATGGCACCGAAATCCTGAGGGAAAATTGTTTCCAATCTAGAAATATCCAATACAGCTAGAAGTGAGATTACACAAGCGTTCAGCATTTGGAGGAATTCGAGATACCCAGTTCTCATCCCGGGTCTGCTGAAGCAGGGCCTGTGCTGGCTCCCAACTGTGACCCCAGCACTCTGGGAGGCTGAGGCAGGGGGACTTGAGATCAGCCTGGGCAGCTAGAGACTCAGCAAGAACCTATCTTAAAAATAAAAAATTGAAAGAGGCCTGGGTGTGCGTATAGCTCAGTGCAAAGGCCCGGGTTCAATCCCTAGGGGTGGGGCAGCGGAGGAGGAAGCTGCACAAAAAAAGATGAATAGCGGTTTGCCATGTCGGGCCTGGGGAGCCACCAGATGACCTCGTGAGATCTGTGCCAAAGGTGAAGGAGCCACCTTTCCCAGCGGGTCTGGAGGGGAGACATCTGTCCGGTAAGTGACAAACCCAGAACTCCTGAGAGTCACTCACCAATCGGGGAGAGTCTGAGTATAAAATATCAGTAAATAGATACGAAACTAAGTAATTAGAAACTTAGCAACTAGGAAAATAATAAACAATCTAGATAAAAGCACCCTAGGAAGTAATTGTAGTATGCTTTCCTTTTCTCTTCAGATAAGGAAAAGTCTTATACACTACTAGGTCATGTGTGAATAGCATTCAGACAAAATACTGAAACCCTCAGACTATTGAACTAAACAATGTCAAGATCCATCTGCAGTAGTCCTCTCCCCCACCCAAGGCCATGTCACCAGTGTTCCAAAAATATTAACCAGAAAACCCCAAGAATGATTCATGAGCCTTTATTTTATCTGATTTCTAGTTTTTATGAGACAAGGTCTCACTCTGTAGTTCAGGCTGCCTTGAACTCACCATGTAGCCCAGGCTGCTTGTGTACTTCTGGCAATCTTCCTGCCTCAGCCTCTTGAGTGTCAGAATTACAGAGGTGCACCACCGTGCCCAGCAATTTGTGGGTTTTTAAATAGAGTCATATTTTGAGCAATCACACACCATTCGGTACCACTCTGCCTGAGGAAAGGATAATTGGTTTACCCAGAATATCCACACTGCACATACCATCTGCCTGAGAATTATTTACTGTTCATCTAGCTACCAGAGTTACTATGTACCACAGTGCTTGTATTTAAGTAATCTGATTTAATAATGGCTCCAGGACACAAGAATAAAGATGCTGGCATTTAGAGATGCCAAAGAGAATAGTGTGGTTCCTTTAAATTAAAAGGAGAGAGGCTGGGGGTTTTGGCACATGCCTGTAATCACAGCACTCAGGAGACTGAGGCAAGAGGATCCCTGAGACAGACCAGGTGGGCTACAAAGTGAGTTCAGGCCAGCCTGAACTGCATAGTGAGACCCTGTCTCAAAAAGACAAAATAAAAAATAAAATAATAAATGAAAATTCAATCAATAATTTTTAAACCTGGTGGTTCTTGAAAGTGCTATTTTTTGGAAGAAATACACTGAAGAAAGTGAAATGGAATTCTGAAGGAAAAGATAAATGATTTAGAAGGCAGGTCTTAGCCTCACTTGGAAAGAACAGTTTCCCAGGAGGTGAAAATGGAAGAGATAAAAGTATAAAAACTAAATAATGTTTCAGAAATATGTACAAATCTCCACATTTCTCGAGTTGATGCACAGCCCCAATCCGATACTGAAAAGGTTCGCAGAACCCAGGGAAGACGTGGTAACAGATTTAATGCTCAGCAATCAACACCCTAGCATGCGTCAGCGGCGTTCCAGCTCTGCAGACGGGGACAGAGGGGAAAGATCTTATCTGATGGGGCTGCGGCTGTTACCTGGGCTGAAAAACGCAAGGCTGACTCAGGTAAGGAAGGAATTTATGACCCGTGTGGGACGCAAGGGCACACACCTGCCATCCCAGCTGCCAGGAAGCTGAGGCAGGAGGACACGTAAGGCCCGCTGGAGTGGCCCAGGGAGAAGGGGAGAGGGGGTGTGGAGCAGTGGAAGGCACACCCCAAGACTGTGCACTTGTCCCGTGGGTTTTTCTGCTCTGTCCCCGTCAGCATGCGACATTTGCCCTCGTGGCTTTTAGACAGCTGTTGTATCTCCCAGATAAACGTGACTGTCAGTTAATTAACAAGGACACAGTTTAGCAGCAGTCTCTAGTAAAATAACCTGAATTCCCTAGGTATGCTTTACATTTACTTATTTATCTCTGTACAGAGGATTTAACCCAGGGCAGTTGAGGAAAGGAGCCTTAGAAAAGAGATCTCTAGAACAGAGGAGACAGACAAGCTGGGCCTGGCGCTGTAGGCCTGCAGTCCCAGACACTTAGGAGGCTGAGGAGGGAAGGTCTCTAGTTCAAGGTGAGCCTGGGCAGCACAGTAACATAGCTAGAGCCCCCACTCAGAGAAAGAGAGAAAGAAAGAAAAATATAAGCATTTCATTCACCTAAGACTAAGACTAAATAAATTTAAAGATTATAATGAGAGGCAATATAATATTTTAAAATTGACTAAGTAAAAATAATTAACAAAACTGAGAGACAAGCAGAAAAATGTGTAAGAGTGTTGTGTTAATTTCAGTCAATATGGTCTAAAATTGAAATATCTAAGCCACATAAAATTCTTTAGGTTCTTTCCTTTTTGACATTCAGGTTTGGTTTTGTTTGCTTTGGCTTGGTTTTGAGACAGAGTCTCACTAGGTAGCCCAGGCTGGCCTCAGACTTGAGGGGATCCTCCTGCCTCACCCTCCCAAGTGCTGGGATTACAGGTGTGCATCATCATGCCTGGCTCACTGGGTGTGTGTGTGTGTGTGTGTGTGTGTGTGTGTGTGCCACTGAGGATTGAATACAGGACCTTTGCCCCAGCTACATCTTATCATCTTTTAAAATACATTTTTTGAAAGGGTCTAATTTTCTAGCTTGCTCAGGATGGCTCCACCCTGTGATCTTCCTGCCTCACCCTCCTAGAGGGCTGGAATTATAGGTGTGCACCACCACACCAGCGTTCAAACGCTATTCATTAACCAAAATATCTGCTGGTGAAGAAAAATTTGTCCCAGGTGGGAGACAATGCAGGTATGGGGCAAAACACAGACATAAATCTTATAGTTCCCCTGAGTTTTGCTGTGATCTAAAACTCCACTAAAAGATAAAGTCTTTTTTAAATGAAATCTGTCTGAGAGTTAGCAATTTCTTCTACAGTACTCAGTTTCTTTCCTTTCATTGCATTTAATTAAATTGTACACGATACTTTTTACTGTCAGTGGTGTACAGGATGGTATTTGATAGCACTATGGCGCTCCTGTCTTCCTGTCCTCTAGCTTCTATGTTTTCCACCTGTGAACCCTCCTGCCCATGAAGAGCTGCTCATCGAGTGTTTGTAAGCATTACTTCTAAGTGATAATGGTTTAATTTTGTAATATTTTGTTTTTAACAATTGCTTCAAATTTTAAAGTATCCTTCTGTTGAATAAAGTCAGCCATTATATTTAAAAATATCTGTAGATATCTAGCTTTCAAACAGTTCATACCAGGGGTGGTGGTGCATGCCTGTAATCTCGACCCATGGGATGCTGAAG